TGATTTACATAATAGCATTCACTCACCTTCTTTTTCTTTCTTCTCCTGGTTTTCTTCTGCTGCAGTTTTATCTGCTCTGAAAAAAATTCTTGCACTACTCAGTGAGAAATAAAGGAGTTCAAATTCCTAAGGGAAAAGATACAGAACAGGAGTGTCAGTGTATCACAAAAATTAATTTGTAGACAGATATAAATGGGATTTTTCAGAAGCATCTAAGGCAACTAGATTTCAATATCTAAAGCCCTTAAATGCTTCCAAAAAAGTCTTCCTCCATTCATACCTTGTTCACATGCATTTTACAAAGCAAATGTTGGCCAAAAACTTTAATGTGTAATTTAAGTAAAGCAGCATCAGTGCAAAGAATCTGTCCCTAATCCACTGAGGCTGAAAATGAGGTTTGTGGCAGCAGTGAGAATCTGGAGCAACTCACCCACAGAAAGTCGTACAAGTCAGTAATCTAAATGGCCACAAGCCTGACCAGTTTCTGAACAAGGTACAGCGATGGGGTTTTTGCACAGGGCTTTACCTATTTCAATGACAGATAGACTTTTACATAACCTAATCATGGGCTATTTTTAAGTAGCCAACTACAGATTTGTCCCATAGCCTCCTCACATCAAGAGCAGAGAGAGAGAGAGAGAAAGCATTTACACCACCGCTGAAACCTGAACTGCTGTGCTTCAAAACTGAAATGATCTTTCCTCTATTTGACAGCTGGTGCATCATTCAACTTAACAGCTCAGAATTAACACCCAAGCAACTCTGAGGGTTCACAGCGTTATGTAAAATCATTATTATAGGAAAATTAACCAAAGTGCTACTCTATCCTGTTTAAGCATTTAGGTTTTAGTTGCATTAGATTTCAGGCTCAAGAGACAAAGAATTCCAATCAACCAGGTCACATTCCTGACTCACTCAAATATTACGCACACTTACGACATCCCCTTCGGGTCATACACCTCATGTCTTTATACTCTTTTTGCATTGTTGCTGTAGGCAATGCTCTGGGTTTTGCTCTTGGTAAGCTCCGTCAGGAAACAGATACCTGAATTGTGATGGGTAAGGGCAGAACTCAACACACAACAGACAATTAGACCCATGCTATACCTGTAAACAAACTTCCAGTCGCTTGTGGGTAAGGTTCATAGTTTGTAGTAGTTTTTCATCTTGATTAGTGGACTGCACATTCTGTTGCTTAGCTACTGCTCTTATTTCCTTCACATACTTCTCTCTAACAGACTGGAACCAGTGCAGAGAATCAAACTCCTGGTACTGATCCAAAAGCTTCAGAATGTAAGCCACACCTATAGTCATTAACAAACCATGTACCAAAGTCAACATGTAATTTGTAAAACGTTTTGTGCATGTCTTTAATGGATCAGCCTAAGTTGATAATTCCCACACAATTAAAACTGAAATTACAATTAATTTACAACAAATCTAACAGGAAAAAAACTCATAATAAAGAACAAGCATCAGTTTTTGAAAACCTCATAACTTCTCCAAAGACTTGCATACCTTCTCATCTGCTGAGATCTGCAAGCTTTGATAAAAACTGGGGAGCACACACAAAAATCTCTGTTCCCATACTCAGCTACTCCACACTTCGGAGATTCTGAACAAAACAACACCCCTCAAATCCACTGCGATGAAGCCAAAGCAACCCAATTATGGAATTTTTAATTATGGGAACAAACAAAATGGAAACAAAACTTTTCTTGCAAATATCCATTATGCTGGCTTACCCAGAGGCTAGTCAGGACACTGAAACTTACCCATGGCAAACCCATCATCAGTGAAAGCCGCTCCACTTTTGTTCTTCTTATTCAATTTCTCCTTGCAACTTATTGAATGCTCTACAAAATTGAGGGTCTGAAAGAGTGAAAAGCTGTCTTGGAATCATCAAGAGAGACATGCAAATTTTAAAAGGTATTCTCATGTATGCCACAAATACAATTCCATGCCCAAAACTACGCTAATTGTGTCTCCCATCATTCGCCATTTCTGGATGAAAACTTGTCCTTTCTCTAGATTTTTGGGGAAGAAAGTAAGTTAAGCTTTGGAAATCGCTTCCATATGCATAAGTAAAAAACTAATGGTACACCTTCATCTTTGCTGTTCTTGTCAGACTGTTACTTCGCATTCTCTTCGTGATCGCTAAAGCAAACACGCGAACAGGTAAAGGGTAATTAAAATAGCCCAGGTTCCTGGAAAGCTATAGTGTGTTATTTCACTCTCTTTAGAACACAGTAAAAACATTTCAATAGTTTCTACATTTGCAATGATGTTGAACAATAGCTCCAGGTAGTAGTACCGAGCAACGGGTATGTGTGTGCATGCAAAACCTACTCCTGAGATATGGAAATGTGTGTACATTAGCAGCTTCTTGAAAACCCATAACAGTTTCAAATTTGACTACACTGAAATGCCTTTTTAGAACTGAAATGGATGGTGTATTTCTGAAACTGTATTTATCAGAAAAAACTCCACAAATGGGAAGGAAAAAGAACCAAAGTATTTGTCATGAGCCTCTGCTTTACCTCACTTCGATCACCCTGACATATCTGTCCTCTGACAGTCTTAAGTTTACGTCTCGGCAACATTACAAAATTAGTTTCTAAAATGGGATTTTACACATGAATCTGCTTAGATCATCTAGACTTTCAAACTGAACTGCTGCGAAAGGCCCAGCGTGCTGCACTCAAGTGTGCATCACCTCAGTTCAGCTGGACTCTTTCTAAACAAAGCTCATGAGCAAAAGCAGGTCCAGCTGCAACGGGGAATGCCCCAACTGTGCTGCATTAGGTCATGGCATTAAAAGAGTCTGAAGATACTGTCACATGGAAAAAGCACATGCACGAGAGAGATGGAGAACATGGTTTTAACCTCCCTTCATCCTTGCTGTTCCAATTCCTCCTTTTTCATCTTGGTTTCTCCAAATTTGATATGAACAAGAGGAGAAGAAATTCTTAAAGTTACCTTTTAAGTGCTAGTACATGAATTGATGTAAACAAAGGAAAACATGGCTTTGGACAGCTATCAACAAAGCCACACTCAAAGCAATCCCACTCATAATCAGGGAAGAAAGTACAATATGATAATCAACACCCTACTACAAAATATTTAACCACAAACCTGATCTGCTAAGTTTTTTAAAAAAGTAGTGGTACACACAATGCAAATACTAACCAGTGGGGGAACAATTATGTAGAAGTTCCGCAAATGCATATTCTTTGGGCTGCGGAATTCAGGAGCAAATACATCCACAAGCATTTTGAAGTATTCTGTTCCTTCTGCGAAGTTACGTGTGAGGTCACTGAGGACAGAGTCCAACTGCCTGCAAAGTGTAAGCAATGTGTTACCTGGTTTCTGCTAGAAGTTGCCTTGCTCACTCACCCTTCAGGGTAACAACCCTCTCCTCACCCTTTGGCTGCACCCACAATCCAGCATTCGGACCAGAGTGTCCAAGATTCCACCCCAGCTCTAGGGTGTAATCAATCGTGTTTATTTCATTTCCTCAAAAAAGGTTTACGAATACTTTCCTAAGGCCCTGAACATTCTAAAAGTAGGTCAGGAAAGCTTGTTAGCCTTTAAACCACACGGATTTTATAAAGAAACCAGGTTCTAACAGTCTAATAGTAAATCATAGAATATCTCAAGTTGGAAGGGACCCATAAGGATCACTGAGTCCAGCTCCCCACTCCTCACAGGACTACCCGAAACTAAACCTCACGACCAAGAGCATCGTCCAGATACTCCTTGAACTCTGACAGGCTTGCTGCCATGACCACTTCCTTGGGGAGCCTGTTCCAGTGACCACCCTCTCAGTGAAGAGCCTTTTCCCAATGTCCAATCTGAACTTCCCAAAATGCCACTTCACATTTGGCATTTTTTAAAACAACTGCTTCTATTTTCTCTGCTTTTAAGACCACCAATTCTTTTTGCATAAAATCAGTTGAACCTTTAACACATGCACATACAAAAATGCAACTAACAGCTGCATTTACAACTTTAAAATTACAGCGCTCTCATCCCATCCCTGCCCCAGACCTCAAAAGCACGATGTTAGGGTACCTTGCTGCTTTTTGCGTTTCTTCCGAGAGTCCCTCTTCTTTCACCAGCTCTTCAAAGTTAACGATATCTTCCAGATCAGGAACGAACCTGAAAACTTATTCTTTGTTAGTGTTATGTTCAACTGTCTCTATCTTCACCGAAGTATCTACCATAATTTCTAATTTACTTAATTTGATCTTCTGGTCTTTAACTACTTAAAGTCATATCATCTCCTCTCTCTAGCACTTGCTATACTTCATAAATACAAGTTTACTATTATTTGTAAGAAGACCAACTATTGCTACATATGTAAAAGTCACTCTGTTTTAATGACCTTATATAACACAGACAATCATCCATACAGAAAGAAATAGCAAAGAAGTGTTTTTTCCAAGTTCCTCAAGGCTTGTACTGTTCTTAATGTACCCTCTTGAATCGATTAACACCAGGAATTACTGATATAGTTAAGGACTAATGACTTAGATGTATAGTCTATTAACTCTTCTGCAGGTTTTTTTTTTCTATAGAACTTGTTTGGTTTTTGGTGTTTTATGGCAATGATTGTACAATTCTGAATTCCAGCACTGTTTTTTATAATTCTGCTTCAAAGAAGGCATAAAAATGGACCTTTTTCATCAAAATTTATGGGGGATGGGTAAGAACCTAGGGAATATCAGCATAAATAAAGAGCAAGAGAAGGAGCAAACCGAAAAATGAAGTATTTGTGGAAGTACCTAATTGCACTACTACAGCAGTGAAGTCCACCAGATCTTATCATTCGTACATAACCCATAGCGTTGCCTTACAAAAAAAAGAAAAAACAAGGAAGTCATTTAGAATTATGTAAGTATACACACACACTCTTCATAACTCCTGTAACCTCTGAAATGTACGTTAAAGTTGCCATGTAGTTTTGGCAAAGAAACTGTTCTGAAACCCAAGTTAAAAAATTTACATTGAGCCCCAGTGTCAAAAGTCTGTGCAGAGAAATAAAAACAAATGCACCATCTAGCAAGGTTGTGTTCGCTTTCATGATAGCATAAGGGCCAAATAAGCACAAACTCTTTCCACCGGGCACATTAAACACTAGCAAGTTCAGATTAGTCCTGCAGATCTGCAGCATCAATAGCTGAAAATGCCACTGTAACGTCATGCGTCACTCAAAGTAATTCCTTCGGCTGGATATATGGCCATTTTCTGAAATATAGGAACTTACAAGAGTACTTTTTTTTTTTAATCTGGATAAAAGTCAGTTCCATAACATAAAGAACTCGGACCACAGGCATCTAAGCAAGCTGTAGCTATATTTTAGATGAAGACATGCAAGGGCAATTTCTGCATCATTAGATGACTCTTTCACAGGGGGTACAAGCGAAGTACTTTCCATCTGACTGGAGTTAGATCTAGTTTCAGCCTGAGCTAAAAGTTCAGTAATTAGACTGTGAAGAGCTCTTCCATTTAGTAACATTTATAACATTGTTTTAGATAACATTTCATACCAATTTGACTTATGAGTTGTCTGAACTGGTCAAGATAGCTCTGGCCATCCGGGGTTATTCCAAGTTTTCTGATGCCACGGTTGAATTTATCTGCTCTTTCGAAGGGATACTAGAAGAATATTTCAGAATAATTTGTAAGAATAATTACCTATCTGCAAAAAAAAATTTTTTCATCATGTCAATACAATTCTATTTGCCATGTACTCCTACTTCACATCTACAGCTTTTTTTTTTTAATACATTATAAACCTGCCTGTCTCTATTTGTTCACAGAAGTAATTTGGCTCACTCACTTCTGCAAATTGAGAAGTGAAATAGAAGTGTCACTGTGAACAAGAAAGTATTTCTAAAAGAAGTAAGTACATACACAGAGGCTGGCAGCCTACTCTACTACACACATTGTCTCTTGCATTTTTGAGAAATCAGTCTGCCAGCATGGAAAAATCAGATGGTAGTCCCCAAATCTTAACGTACTGGGATAAGTGCTACATGTTCACATCATTTTGGATTCAATCTGAATAATCTTATTATTCAAAACTGACCAACAACTGTTAAGCTTGATTCGGACCAGAAGTTTAGAACCTCCAATAAACAATGACTCCATCAAATCATTGTTTTCAGGTCACTAAGACAATGATTTTAGCCAACCCCATATTTACAGAGAAGAATGAAACAAAGCCATCCTGAATAGAGACATTTGTAAAACTGCATTTTGCTAGGACAAACACTGTCACTTTGAAGATACACATTTAAATAATTGGAACATTATGGTTTGGTGCACCCTCAGACACATGAAAGTAGCACTTTTTAGCCAAGTTACTCTCAGCCTTTCAAAAATTATTATACCTTGTGATCATTTTGATCCTTGACTTCCCTGAAGAACCTGATGTCTTTGATAAGTCTGGATTTGATATGTTCATCGTACATGAACTGGCTAAAAATATAAAACTTTTTCCTCAAAAATTGGTAAGTGAAGTTTACCTAGAAGAAGAAAAAAATAGTTAAATCAAGAAAAGTTAGTAAAATAACAATATATCTAGCAACCAGTTTTCATCAGATTCCCAAGTAACTTGTCTTTATACAGAACAATCTACTCTTTTTACTTCAACTTGTTATTCTCAACGTATCTTTTTCATTTCATTGGTTTAAAAGAACAAAGAAAACTCTTCTCCTGGAAGGCCTACTCTATTCCAGGAAGGGCAGCAGGACCAAGGGACAAGTCAGCTCTTTCAGTTCGATGACATGCCATACGCAGCCATGAGTTGCTGTCCGGAATATCCTGCAACTGTCCTTTTGAAGCAATACAACCATTTCAAGTTGAAAAGGGCAGACAAGCTCAACTTCCTCAGTCAAGCTGTGGAATCCACATAACCTCCTGACACACTTTTTCACTTCCTCTAAAACACTCTCCCATAAGGCAGAAGCACACTTCCACCCTACACATCTCAACTACTTCTCATGTCTGCATCAACAACTTTACTCACAATCAGAAATGAATAAATCTACATCACAAGGAAATAATGTAAGTACCAGCACTTTTCTGAGTAACTGAAGTCCCTGCTCCGAGAAGAATAGTGCAAGGAAAGCCATTTCCAATAGTACAAGAAGTCATTAAAACATAATTTTTCTAATAATTTCCACTTTTAAACTAATGACTTGAGAGCGAGTTCAACATTTCAGCAAGGTTTTGTTGTTGTGTGTGTGTTGTTTTGTTTTTTAATAGGGCCAGAAGACTGGGAAAAAGAAAGCAGCAAAGAAGTAGAATGAAGTTGAGCAGTGGATTGGAAAGCACCAACCGGAAAACAGGTTTGGATACAGTGCCAAAAGTGAGAACCATGACAAATTCCTGCCGCAGTAAAGAGTTTCCTTATTTACCTTGCAAAGAGGTTAAAATAACCACCAACACTACAGACATCCCAAAAATGTTACAGTAAGAAGTCAGTCTTCCAATAAACTGTCAGAGATCTGTAGCTTTTATTTCGCAAACTGGAAAGCTGGTGTTTCTTAAGCTTAACAATTACAAGATAAACTTAACACTGCGTTTTTTCAAGATTTGCTTTAGTCGGCAGATATTTCTGCTGCAGTTAACTGTCAATAAGCAGAAAGTTAGAGCACACCAATTTATGTAGGGAGCTTAGAAATCAAATTATTCTACTATGCTAGTTTGATAAGTATTATTTATCTTTATTGAAATTCAGAGTCCCACCAGAACATCTGTATCTTACTTGATGGGGGTTTAGATCTTTTCATTAACTTTTATGTAACAACTGCAAGTGGAATAATTCCCAAGAGATTTTCTGATATGGATCTGTGTTGTGTCCAAGAACTGATTTGTTGTATTAATACACAAAGAACATTATTATCGCCTTGTTAAAACTGTAAAACCAAATAAACCAATAGGAGACAAGATTTTGGAGGCTTTTGTGCACTATTAAAAAAATATCCAACAATAGTGCAAAAAAAAATACTCACTGTTGTGTTCATGATTCCTGTTCCATGAGTTCGAATTGAATTAGCAATGTGTCGGATATTGATAGTGTTCAAGTGTTTGTTATTACTTGTTCTTTCAATGAAAATCTGGGGGAGAGGAGGGGAAGGGGGAGGGCACAGAAAAAATAAAGTTATTTACCCAAAACTGACTCTGATAACTTACCAACCTAGGTAGCCTGTATCCCATTTCTAAGAGTAGCTGATAACTGGTGGTTAGGGAATTTTTTTTTTCTTTATGTGGTAGGTTCTTCCAGTTTCTGCAAAGCAGATATTAAAAACAACTCCAAGGTGGGTGTTGCACCCAAACTCTCATGTTTATTGAGACTATATCCCACATTAATTGGTCTCTTCCAGCACCTGTTTGTACTGTTGGCCCCACTATATACCATGGCAATGAGTTCTACCACTGAGTTCTGTGCTATGAGAAAAAGTACTTCCTTTCCTTTAAGGAAGCCGCTCATTTTCATAGTAGGCCCCCTCATTCTCACACTGTGAGAAGCCACAAAGGGTTGTTCCCTGTCCATGTTCTCCATGTCATTCACTGCATCTCTCCAACCACCCATTTTCAGGCACCCTTTTTCCAAGTTGAAAAATCACTTACTTAGTATGTCCTTATGTAGCAGCCAGTTATCCTTGCTGCCTTCTCCTAGCTTCAGTGGAATATCTGACATGGAGCGATCTTACTGGCACACCACACAAAATATGCTTAGAGAACATTCTCTGAGACCTATCTACAGCATCCCTACCGATGTTTTTCTGGAGTAGCAATAGCTATTTCATAGTTTGTTATTATGTATACTCAGCTTGTTTTGTTCTTGTATGTATACTACTCTGCATTTCTCACTCCCTTCAAATCAAAGTCAAATCAAGGAAAAAGTAAGGGATATACCTTACCTGATTATTCAGATTGTAGAGGTAGCGGGATACAAAAACATGAATATTTCTCATGATTTCCAAAACATCCAGACCCTGAAACAATATCATCTATTAAGAATTATGATACACATTCTCAAAAACTACTGACACGCCTAACCACAAAGGTATGCAAATACTATTTCTGTAGTTACCTGAAAACCTTTTAGAAAGCAATGTTTTCACCTTATGAAGAATCTCTTCACAATTTTTGTTCAGTGTCCGTAAGGTAATGTTTAGAGAAAAGAAACTCTGCTCATGTTTAACTTTTACATTTTTGCCTGTTTTTTCCAACTTCCCCTGAAAGTAAGGAATCCTCCAGTCTATCCCACAAGCGCCAATTAAAAACAAAATAGAGATTTGGCTGTTCTCAGATTCAAAAAAATGGAACCTTGCCGTAGAGATCTCTATAGACACGAAGATTTCCACAAAGACATACACAACTAGCTACTTTTTTTATATCATTTTGCCCAACGTCTCTATAGGACTGAATGTAAGTTTTACAATTGTTTTGCTTGAAGGAGTCCCTTTAGTATCACTGTGCATAGAGAGGATGCTATTTGATCTACACACCCTACTTCCAGTTGGGCCAAGGATTGTATCAGGATTTTGCTGGGGCGAAAGGGGGGAAAGGTGTGTGGAATGTCTTTGTTTTGAAATAAAGCTCATACCAGGACAAATGGTATGAAACCAATGCTGTGAAATTATTTAATTCTTTATAGCAATGTGATGGCCAAATATTGCCAGTAGAAAACCAAAGCCAGAAATAGAAATTAATCCACAGCATTTTTGTATCAAGAAGCAGAGTTCTTAGCTTTATACCCTCTTTCAACTTCAGAAGACACAGCCATCAAGAACTTTAGAAAAAAAGACCCTGTAACAGTGAATGCCTCCACCATTAACTTGATGAAACTACAACTGTATTCTACATGTAACCATGTTTAGCAGTTTCTAGGAGGCTCTCAGTCACTCTCCTATTAAGCTAAGCATGGATGTTCCCAAGTCCTCAATGTCTAGCCTGTGAAACAGTTTCTCTTGACAATCACTAAGCAGTACCTGCTGAGAAGCAAGCAATAAACCAGGGAAAACAGCCACCATTCAAAGGTCATTCCAGATGTGACAGTTGTATTCCAGACATATTGCTCGCCAAATTCCTGATACTGAATTTTCATGAAAACGTTCTGACTTTGCATACCTGATTTCATTTTATTACTTATGTTAAAAAACGAATGCTACAAGTCCAACATTAAGTTAACTGCTATCAGTGTCACCTCCAAAGGCAGATAAAGATCCTGTCTCAGAAGTCAACCAGAAACTACAGGTCACTTCTTTCAAACAGTTCCCTAAGCTTGGGTACTTTCATTTTAACAACTCCGTCCTTTGAACAGCTAGCTAGCATGACAGTGTAATGGAACAAGTGACATTCATATCCTGTAGGCACTGTACCTGTTCCAGAGTCTGGCTGGGAAGATGTGCTTCAGTCATAGTTAAACCGTAGCGTTGAGTTGCTAGGTTTCGCATTTCACTGTAGGTGGCCCAGTCATGAAGAGCTACGGTCGTTAAGTTGTAGAAGGTCTTATCCAAATAGTGAGTTACATAAGCTGTAAACACATAAAAGGATAAACTAAAATAAGACCAACTACTTAGTTGGAGAAGCGTGGAAAGATACACTAAGCCAAAGCTTAGCACAGATGAAAGTAACAGAATCAAGAAAATGTACAACTTCTCACCTTTTATGTCAATGAATCGATTGAAAAAACGTATTGGGTTCAGAAAGAAGAAGTGAGCTAGATCCTTCATACCAACTCTGAAGGGGTTTCTGTCATCCAGCTTTAGGTGTGTATGAACTGATAAGCGTAGGTCCTTTTCTATCTCTTTACATAATTTGTCCAGCAAGTGCTATTCAGGGAATTTAAAAAAAAGAAAGTCACATTCAGTGTCTGCTTCTCTAACATCTCTCTCCAGGGATACATAAGAGACTGATTAAACTAGTAAATTAAACTAGTAAAGACAGCTTTGACTTGTGTGGCCCTGCCAAAGCAAAGTGAATCCATACTTGGGAACCAGAAGGATATTTATTTCCTGTGTTCTTGTTCTAGTACACAATAGCAAGAAAAAGCTACTTGTCTCAGAAAAGGTAAAGGTTTAGCTACCTAATGCCATTCCGCACATGATTAAAACTTCCATGTAGGAGTTTAACAATTTAAACTTCAATATTCTCACTTCGCATCTTAAGGGGAACTGAGTTTAGGGCTATCTACCTAGATAATAGAAAGACCTAGCTCAGTAAGGATGAGTGTTGCAATAAGCAACTTGGCCTGATTTTCTGCAGAATATGTAATGGTTTTTTGTTTGACTAGTTCAAAACTAGAGTTGTTCAAATGTTAAAACCTAGGACTTGGGAAATCTGAATTCACATTTTCTCTTTGTTAAACATACTTCATAGTTCTAGACAGTAATTCACTAATAAGGAGGCCACCTACATTTACAGAGCCTTCGCTACTGAAAGCCATGTACACATACAAAGAACAGTACTACTTCTTTTAGGCATTTATACAAGCAGAAGATAATCTGACAAAAAGCACTCCTCTGTCTGCATAGTTAAATCTGTAACTGAGGTTTTGCCAGCTTACATAGTTTAGAGTGGAATACTTTCATGTTCCCAGCCACCACAGATAGAATCAACAACAGGTCTTAAACAACCATAATCATCAGTGAACATTTTGTTTATTAAGATACTTCACACCAATCTGAAAGGTCTCTGTGCTATTTTTATAGATCATATCAGGTTTGGTACAACAGATGCTGGCCTGTAAGATACTCCAAGCATAGTGGTGCCCTTAATTTCTATTCATAACAAATTACCTCATTAAGCACTTCCATGATTTCTTCATCGTAGCATTCTAGAAGCACCTCGTAAGATTCCAAGTGTCTTGCATGCATCATAGCAGGTACACAGTCCCGTAGTGCACTAAACATATACTGAAAAAAAACTATTATGCTTAACCAACAGACTGATAGACATTTCAACAGCATCTCAAATAGTGTTCAAAGCTAACAAATCAAAATCGCTAGCCTTCCCACTTCTACTGAAAATAGACTTCATAAACCCTAATGAAGTTTCCTGTCTTTAATGTGTTCATCTGAAGTATTTAGTTGCTACTGATCTGTTTACTGGAAGGTCATAACTATTAGCTGTTTCATCTGAATTATTTGCACCATATTTAATACTGTAATTGACCATGGCATTCACAACACCGGAATAGATGACTGATTTTTATCAGGATTAGCATGCTAAAGCATGATTCACTTCTGCAGCAAATACTTGATACTTTAAATAGGAGAGTAGGGATGAGGAGGGTGGAGAAAGCTACAGGACTACTATCCCACACAGCATCACTGAACATAGTGATATGTGCTTTAGAAACACGTAACCACAATGTGGAACAAAGGCTTTTAATGTTCAAGTTTTCAAGTTATACTGAATGAAGGAATAAAGAGACAGACAGACAGAGACCCACAGTTACCAACAGCAACCTGCAATTTTTAGAGCAATCTAACAGATATACTTCAGTTATTTAGAACAAAGGTTGCTTTCATATCCTCCAGATTGAGAGGAAATTTCTGCCTCAGTAGTAACTCTTGCCTGGGTTTTACTTTTTTTTTTTGAGCTTTTTTCTTAAGACTTTCAGTCTAAGCTGTATTCTCTCCTCCTCTGAATCCCTCCCAGTTAAACTAAGCTGCTAACACTATTACTTACATGCAGTCTAGCAGAATCAACAGCATTTTCATACACATCATCTAAATAGATTGGAAAGACTGCTCGATGCCAGTATAAGAAACAACAGTCACACTGTACTCGAACTCTAGAATACAAGATTACTTATTAGACATAGAATTGGAAGAAGACATTCTTCTAACAATATTTATTTCAGTGTTTGAACTAAAGACAACTGCTTTTCAAGCCCCAGTTTTACATAGTTACTTTAATGTTCCAGATGCATTGTCCTTCAAAAGAAAGTTCTTTATTAAAGAGCTCTTTATTTCTTGTATTCCATTAGCTATTTATAAATAAAAAGTACCCGCTTTAGAAAAAATGTTTATTCAGTCTCTAAAAGAATTAAACCTTACATTACAGCAAAATCCTAAATAACTATTTGCTTATTGTATGCAATAAGTAGCCTAGAGGTCAAACATACATTCTAAGTTTCTCCTGTAAGTCAAAAAAAGAGAAACAGGCCTCTCCTGATACAACCTGTGTACAACACACCCCAGGAATTTATCCAATGAGTCATCCACTGAAGGTGTTTGTCTCTCTCCATAAAGCATGCATGGAATCCATATCCCTTGGCTTTCAGATGGCCAACATTACGTGAGTGTCCACTGAAACTACAGCAGCAGTAAAACATGGTGTCACATGCTAACTAACAGCCTGATCTCCCCATAACGTTTGGGTTACAAGGAAGACTTTAGCTTAATATAAAGCCAAGTCATCCAAGAAAGTGACAGAATTTCTAAACAATCAGAGAAGTGCATTACCTAATTGGCAACAGTTCGGTAAAACATGACTTGCCCAAAGACCAGCAAGGTTCAGGCTTAGCTCTGGAATTCTTTCTGTCCATCCCTGGTCTACAATACATGCAAAAATCACTACTAGCATGCAGCCACCAGATTTTGCTATTCACACAGCGAAGATCCAGCTCCCTTAGTGACACTACACTGCCTTCTACATATTATGTGCCACTGCTTACCGCTCTGTAAGTTCACTGATCAAGTCTAGTTTTTTCAGAACTAACTGCAGGGGAATGAGTTCTTCATCTTTAAAAGTCTTCTGTACAAATGAAGAAAAGCAGAAAAAAAAAAAAAGGAAAAAAAGACAAGATTACATTTCTTCATAAGATACTAAACAAAAAAAAGTAAAGGTCTGGAACAATCATGGCACTTACCATCTGTGTTCCCACACTTAGTGCAAGGGAAACAATTAGTCGCCTCTGTTTTGTACTTGGCCCATTGAGGGTGTTCTCAGCCAACACCAAAGCAGAGAGGACATCCAGCCGTTGCTCACTGTACTTTTTGTCAGAAATGACTCTTTTCTTGACAACAGAAAGACACAGAAATTCAGAGAAAAGTTACCTAAGCCCAGAAGCAATAGCTTACCTCATCTTTCCAAAGCTAATAGACTTATTCCAAAATTAGTATTTCTGCAAACATTCTGTTTTGTGAATAGAGCTAACAGACTTGCTCTGTCAATTCAGCAGTATTACCTATCTATAAACACTTGGAACATTTACAGTTCAGCACGAACATGGGTCAGGTCATACTATATACAAATACTGTGCAAGCTGCACATGACTACATGCCAATTTTAGCTCTAAGGTACACAATTTAATTTTTTAAAATTATTTTCTTAATCAATGACTCCCTGTTGTTGATAACAAAATCCAATTTACAGCTGAACAACCAGAAGACATATAAACATGGTAATTAACAATAACTTGCAATTTTCTACAAATTCTAATTTATCAGATAGACTAAGTGCAAAAACATTTGCATGAACAAATGAAGGGAACCAAGTCTTCTGGCTAAGAAGTTGAAGTTAAACATTTTGTGAGTAGCAGCATAATTCAGAAGAGGTATAGTTTCATGAAACAGTTAAAGAAAACCTCTTCCAACTCTAAGAAAGTATGTTCAACACCATACATGATAAAGCTATGTTAGGTATATACCTTAGGCCTTACACCACTTAGAAACAAAGTGGAGCAGATAAAGAGAGATTAGTACTAAAGAACTCTTCTATTTACCAGCATTTGCCTCTTATGCCTTTTCTGAGAAGTATTCAAAATATCAAGAATTGTTCACAAATGTGTTCTCTTTGATATCCACTCAATACACAAGTCGCAGCATATAGAAATAATCTGTAATGTAATTACAGATCTCATTTGAAAAAGTTAGGAAAGTTATCTAAGTATGTGAACTGTTTGTTTTGAAGACACAGTATTTCTTCGTAGCTTTGAAGCTTGGAAATTCTTCAGGTCATGCTACTCCTGATATTGAGATATATATGTATACATAACTGCTTTTTAGAAGTACAACTATTTATTACGCTAGAAAATATGGAGATGCCATATACTTAAATTGAGGTTACAGCCAAATTTCAAACATACCAAAACAAACTTCCAAACTACAAGAGTCTACTGTTAAAATTGTAATCCATTTATGGGAGCACAGTCAAAACAAAAAAAAGGAAATAGCTGAATAGCCGCACTGATACCAACAGCATACCTCCTTTGTAATTCTGCTACCGAACAGGAAGAATAAAACAATCACTAATACATCAAAACAGGTATACTAAAATCTCATTTTCCCATCTGCCCTGAATTCAGAAATTCAAGATTTGATATGCAAAATGTATCGTAAACGGATCTTGTTTATAGGAAGCTAATATGTAGATATTAGTGTCTCACCATCAGAATCCATTTTACCCCACAGAGAAACAGAATTTATGCCCGCATTAGACTCCTGTAAGCCACCATGTATTAACTACTGCTATTTTGCAAAGCAGACAGATTTAAATAAATAACAGCCTGCTTGCTTAGACCTACAACAGATTACTTTAGGAATGTGCATCAGAAAAGAGATAAGAAAAGGTCAATTTATTTTTCTAGTGATTTTCACAAACTAAAAAGAACACAGGAGGCACATGACGAGATGCAGCAGTTTAGAGGAAAGGAGGACCCATTCTTGCTCAAAAATAGTCATCTATGCTGTACGGTTTCTAGGGCAAAGCTCTAACCTACAGGAAAGCTTATGTATCTGTCAACTATGACAGAGCAACACTACAGATTTTGCAAAAGTGAGAAAAATACTTTAATTTCAAATGAAGATTTTTTTTTTAAACACTTAGCTAGGAAGAATAGTTATTAGAACTTGGATTACATACCTTGGCTACAGAAATAGAGTGAAGAGCCTGATATTGCAGATGCTGAGTGATGTGCGTCACAGAATCTGCCACAACCATACTTCTTCTGTAAAACATGTGTTCTATTGCCTAAAGTCAATGCCAAACCACAATAGTTTATGTAGTTAACAACACTGTTGCCTTTAGAATTTGGCTTTATGCTGGTGGACTCACCCACACTGCAAATACAGACTCTTTCCACTTCATAATGTACTGTTAGTAGCAGTTGCAATTAACCCTTAGAAACTGAGAAAAATCAAATCATTCAGGAGTGCAAAAAAAGTTAAGATTGATGCAAGTTTTATTCTTTTTCTCGGTTTGTTTTTTTAAAATAATCCAGCTCCGTTCCATATTGCTTTCTAAAGTTATCTCAAAACAGAGTATTCTCCTTTTGGAAGGAGTACCAGGAGAAGTGCAAAGTCCTGCACTCAGGGAGGAACAACCCCATACACCAATATATATACATACACTGGGAGCCATCCAGCTGGTAAGCAGCTTGGCAGAAAAAGACCTGGGGGTTCTGGTGGACACCAAGTCGAACACAAGCCCCTTGCCACAGAGGAGGTTAATGGTATCTTAGACTGCATTAGACAAAGTACTGCCAGCAGGTTGAGGGAGGTGATCCTTCCCCTCTACTCAACACCGGTAAGGCTACACCTGGAGTACTGTGTCCAGTTCCAGGCTCCTCAGTACAAGAGAGACATAGAGACACTGGAGAGAGTCCAGCCAAGGGCCATGAAGTCTGTTAAGGGACTGGAGCACCTCACAAACGAGGAAAGGCTGAGAGAGCTGGGACTTTTCAGCCTGGAGAAGAGAAGGCTTGCAGGGAGGGGGAATCTTATCAATGTGTATAAATACCTGCAGGGAAGATGCAAAGAAGGTGGAGCCAGGCTCTTTTCAGTGATGCCCAGTGACAGGACAAGAGGCAATGGGCACAAACTCAAACACAGGATTTTTCCTCTGAACATCAGGAAATGCCTTTCTAACATGAGGGTGACCAAGCATTGGCACAGGCTGATTGCCCAGGGAAGTTGTGGGTTCTGCATCCTTGGAGACAGTCAAGTCATTGGACACTGCTCTGGGCAACCGCCTCTAGGTGGCCATGCCTGAGCAGGGGGTGGCTGAACCAGACAACCTCTGGAGGTCCCTTCCAACCCCAATCATTCTGTGATACCAGCTAAGGAAGGCGGTTAGAAGTTAAATAAATCAGTTCTAGCCTCCGAAATCTCCTGTTCTCTACCCAAATTCTTGAACAAGAAGTCACACAAAAACATGTCCCCACTCAGTTGTATTGTTTTTTTGGGATTTTTTGGGGGCTGGGGATGCTCTGTTAATTATGTGATGTTTGATCAGCATTTTCTGTAAAGGCCTACATGAAATCAACAGTTTTTATCCAGTGACCTACCTTCAGAAGTTCTACAAGTCTGCATAGAGCTTTCACCGAGGTTTTGGTCATAGGTTTTTGCACTGACATGTAGAAATTCATTGTGGTTTTAATGATGGTGCTAAGACTGTATGCATAAAGAAAACCCTAAAAATGAGTAAAAGGGGGAAAAGAAGAGTATTTTTTGCAACAAATCAATCAAACAAGTCCCCTCTGTTTTCTTTCATACATTACAGAACTAATCTTTGCCTCTACACACTAGAGAGCCCACCACTCTACCTAATAAGAAGCCTAAGATCTCAAAGCTGAATGAGACCCTTTTATTAGGCAGACATTATGAAACTCAAAAAAAGCCACTAGATCACCTGATCATAAACCTCTTTGGGAGCCATTCAAATTAAACATAGGTCAGTGAATTAATTGCACAGCCTCAAAGGTCTAATAATTTCAGACATATTGTAAGCCAACCCACCAAAGAACTCCCATCTCCCCAAAAAACTGCCTATCACAAAAAATAAAACTTCCAGATGCCGTGAAATAAATACACTGACAGTATTTACTTAGCTCTACACTGTCTAAATAGAACTGTCCATCCCATAATAAAAAAAGCAATCACTTCTAAGTCAATGTATGCTAAGCTTTTAAATACAATGTTGATTACATACAGCATGACAAAAATGTTATTCAATTTATTTCAAAGGAAAAGTAGTAACAATAGAAAAGAGACTAGGAAAGGACAGCAAGTGGTCTAGGAAACTCAATTTGCTACAGAGCAAAATTTATATAAGTCTGCTGCAAATAATTCATATATAAAAACCACAGATCCTAGTACACGTATGTCTTTAGATATGGAAGAGTCAGGATCATGCTTCTATCACACACCTATTCTCACCAGACTTCTGTCAGGCAGATAGATACATAACAAAACTAGCAAAAAATAAATTCAGAAATAAGATGCATCTTACATTAAGACTACATGCTGTTAGTAGGCCAAAAGAAAACCAGCTGCCTCGGAACGTAGCAAGATCCTTGCAAAGTACCATCACTAGGCAAAGCACAATGAAACACAAAACCTTTACTGGAAGTATGTACTGTGCTAAGTGAAACTAAATTAGACACTGGTTCAGTCCAACTTATGTACCTCATGACTGACTCAAATGGAAAAAAACTCAGAACCTTTACTACAGAGGAAATGAAGCTTTCTTGATTTCCTAAGTCAAGAGAAAAAAATAAAAATTTTAACCACTGAATATTTAGTCAGATTTGCTTTCCCCACACACCTTATGGAAACACGTTTTACAGAATTACTTAAAAGACTGTCTACTGGGCACTTAAAGTTTCAGAATTCCCACGTTGTAAAATAAGACACTGATGATCACAGAACTTCTGTGTTTTCTTTTTATATTAAATAACTTGCACCAAAACATCAGTTTGCTGCATCACCACATTAAAAGACTGCACACCTGGATGAAGACATTGCAGCGGTTAGAAAGATCTTCTGCAAACTTATCGATGCGTTGTTCCTTTGACAAGATAGATTCCATTTTTGTCATCCACGAGCTCACAAAAACATAGTATGACTGCATATCTCTGGAGAAGGAAACAAACAGTGTTGCCCAGTTCAAATAAGAGTACAAAGATTTTTCCTTTGTCTTTCCAAAGCTTAAATCCTTCCAAGGGAAATATGTTAAAATCATCAGTCCCTAAAGTAATAACTTCCCATTCCCAAAAGTATCAGAGCCTCATGCCCATTTACATTTTAATTCTGTATTGGTAAGGATTAGTGTGCCAATTATATCTGTACAAACACACCCCAAAGAGTCAAAGTTATCTATTTTTGAAGAGAACAAATGGCCCTCTTAACAGTACACATACTACACTTCTTAAATTATAACAGTAAATAAAACTGCTAGAAAATGCTTTTAAATGCTAGACAAAAAGTCCTACACTTATTTTTTTTTTCTCCAAGTTTGAGTTTTTGAGAGTGTGTGCATACACATATATAAACATAAACAACTTATTACATCAATGCCAAACTGGACTGCTCTTAAATAACACAATTCTCCAGAAGTTAATCTGCTTGGATTACACTAGTTGTAATAAAATGTTTAAACAGAGTTCACTTTTAAAACTGCTATTTATTCCATGATACAGAACTGTGACACTGCAATACTACTTACAGTAGCAGCTGTAGCAGGAACATATTCGGGTCATTGATTACGACATACAAAATTACACTTTAAAGAGTACTTATATTCAAGGCAACAGGCCAATTATCAAAGGCAATGCACGAACTTAAAAAGCAAGAAAGTTATTGGCAGAACTGAAATCAGCAGATGCAAAATCTGCATCGTATTACAAAATCCTCAAGAAGTCCATGAATACCCAAATCATTTTCAACCTTTTCTGAATCTTAAGAGCTGAAGACATGACATGTGTCACTTCGCAAGACCAAAAGCAAAGCAGCAGTGCAATTATGCTCCATCCAGGAATTAAAGGCCAGGAAAGAATTCAGTCAGAGCTCTTGACTCTTCCTGTGGATGTAGCATATACACCAGGAAGAGGTAGACTGAAACAGAAACAGGGCAGTAGTGAAAATAATCTGCCAGAGGATCCTGTAGGCATGGAGCTGCTTTCCTCCTCTCCCCCCTAACCTAGGTCTGCCAGCTTGCATACAGGGTTGGAAGACAACCTGCAAAATGTAAGTTTTTACTCCTGTTCCACAGCCTCATTTTCCACCTTGTTTTAGTCTGCAAGAAACAGAAATCTTAGTCCTGTTATCTCCCTGTACAGTGCAGCACACTTGTTCATCCTCATTTTCCACCTTGTTTTAGTCTGCAACAAACAGAAATCTTAGTCCTGTTACCTCCCTGTACAGTGCAGCACACTTGTTCACAAGTAACAACCAAAAAAAAAATTCCAGCTCATCTTTAAACACATTTTAGAAAGACCTTAGAGAACAAGTGACCTGCAAACTACATGCAAAGCACAAAGAAGCTTTTTCAAGCACAGATAATTTCACAGATCATTAAACAAGGAATTAAAACTGCTGAATAAAGAAATGCTTGCAAAGAAAGTATCATCACCAAGCAAAGAAAAAAACGCTCTATAAGCCTACTAGCAACTTGGCCCTATGAACACATAGAAAGCAGAGAGCCCTAATAGCAAACAGAGCAGCACAGGTTACTTAAAACACAGGTTTTAAAAAAAAGTAGAATTTGAAAGAATGGAAGCAGAAATAACTGAAACAATCAAATATTTAGAACTACCAGGAACTTTGTTATTTTGGTGGTATAACACACATTCTTCTGAAAGCATGACATTAAAAAGCAGCTTCGTTTTGACCAACACATTTTCAGCAACACACTCACACATACTGCTGCAGTGAAATGGGAAAGCCGTTTAACACAACTGAGCAACACTACACAACATGCTAGTACACTGAATGAGGAAACTCCCGTATTTATAAACTGTTTGACAAACATCACCACAAAGCAATATTTAGGAAGCTTACTTGGTAAGTGACTGTGCCTTCTGCTGTAGAAAGTTCTCCCTTTGCATCTTAATCGTATGAATACTTTTCTTGTCCAGAAGTTTGGCAGCAGTTGGTATCTTCTGAATCAGAAAGTTGTCAGCAAACCAGATAATGTTAGCAGTTAATGTGATGGCTGGTACCTAGAGGAAAAAAAAAGGGGGAGGGGGGAATACTATAAGTAGCAATCAACATAAGTAACTACAACAAATACTATGCCACCATGAATGTTTCTTATGCCCCTTTGAAGCGATAACACAATTCAGTTTATTTCTGCATAATTGGTTTCTACAAAGCATTACGTTCACATTAAAAAAGGTTTCTCCTCTACAAGTCCAATAAGGACACCACAGGCAAATTTATTACCACTCTCAGTGTTTCTAAACAGTATTAGAGAATTGAATAATTTCTTAATATCACCCAATATGAAAAAAAAACCCCAATCATCTCTGGACTTAAAGGTCTTTCAAGATACATGTTGTTTACAGCCAAGGTCAAAACCCAAAGCATTTATTCAGTCTCACCATACTCAAACATTTTTTTTGTCCTTGGTGCCACATTAATCTTGAGAAGAAACATTCTGATGGTAATTTCAAGTTATTTTACCTTGCTGCTAAGTGAGTAGACAGGTTTTAGAGCATCTTTAACAGAAAATGGGAGAGGGGCAGGAAATCATAAAAAGTAGGGAAAAAAAAATCTTAATTCTGCTTTCTGACTTGTTCTGGTAAATTGTGTGTTTTCTTCTCCCAAGTCTTTGCTATGCTACACAACTAAGACAATTATCTACTTCATTACTAAAGATTTCCCCCCTCATAATTACTGACGAGAATTAAGCATTCACCTTTTTACAGACATCCAACAACGACTTGTAAAATTTCTTGTCTATGGTCCGAAAAATCTGAAAATACAGTACAAAGAGGCCACAGATGCCCACATATTTATCTCTCTGGTCAATTTCTGAAGGTTCACCTGCAGAAATATACCAAAAAAAGTCCTTTTTTGAAGTCTGCTCCCAGACAAACAACGTAAACAACTTTAGAAACCCTGACGCTGGCAGGAGAAGCATGAGCTTGCATTACCAAGTTTGGCTTCAACATTTGCAAAAGCTGTGCGAAGAGCATGAGCAAATTCTTCAGCAAATGTGGTGTTCTTCGACACTGACACTCCACCATTTACAGAATCAAATTGTTGCTCTATACAGGCCTGAGTAAAAAGGGAAAAAAAGAAAACAAACACATGATAATGCCATGAATTTTGAACCTTAAAAGAACACTGATTTTGCAAGAGAAGAATACTGCAAGAGCACATTCATTTATGCCATATAGCACTAACCTGAAGTTATTCTTAGACTTCGCGACAGATTTTTTTTAAGCATACTTAAATTATTTAGTATAACAGAAACATAAAAAGCCTCTCTTCTACCTACCATTCAAACAAACATTTTATTTACTTAACATTTCTGTTGTGAGGCATTTTTAAAGAAACCACATGATGTGTTAGAGATAAGAAACTAGATGCATATTTGTATTATTACATTAGAATACATTACTAACTGTCCATTAACTAAACAAAATTATCATGCAAGTCGCTTATAGGATGTGGCTCATGAACTTGTAGCATAAAACCCCCACGCCATTGGTGGTTGTTTAAGAAATTTACCAAAACACAATAGTATAAAAAAAAAAGAGACACTTTATATTTTCTAAATATATTAGAAAAGTCTTCAATAGAATTGTATTTAAGCATATTTTTAATGCATTTTTGTTAGGAGTGTTAGCAGGACAGGAGGGGAAACATCCTGAATGAGAGCCAGACAATCCTACTGATGTCTCAAACATATAATAAAGTCTTTGTACTAATGCAACATTTGAGAAATACAAGATGAAAAATGAATAGCTGGTAGCAAATCTCCTTCGAAAGAATGTGCCAAATTGCGTTTGTCTTTTTATCTACAAATTTCCCTTTTGGAGGCTTTTACAGAACAAAACCTTCTTCCGTATGCCATTTAAGATACAACAATAAGAATTCAGCAAGTCCTGTTCCATTGACTCTGTTGTGACCAGATTCAGCCACGCTATCCTCTGCCCGCTATGTTACAAAATCAGATTTCAATCTCAAATACTCACTTTTCTAACAAAGATGGCTTGTTGTATGAACACATCTAAATTAAATGTATTGAAAAGGTAATAATCCTTCTCATGCACCTGTACACTTCATGTTTTGGGGTTATATACCACTGAAGCAGCACCTCATGACAACTACCTGTCTCCTATGCTAGCAATGAGACAAAATACCTAACCAGAGGTCATACTTAGTATTTTCAAGATTACTGAGGAGACTAACTTGCAGCTATAAAAAAAGTGGACCTATGCTATGTAAGCCTGACCACTATTAAAATTTCTGGTGAAAAACAGACTCCCTGATAACACAGTCTTAATGCCAAGTTGTCAGTGTTTCTTTAATTCTGCAAAACAGTAAGCATTAACTGCTACCATTCAAAGCCTGGCACGGTTCTGGCACATGAGAAGAGCAAGGCAGGATCTTACAACAGAGCCTTTTTTTTTTCATGCACAGATGCAAGAGCCAAATTCACACATCACTATATGGAACAAAACAAAACAAAACCAAACAAACAATACGTTCTAAAGATAGTCTCACTTCAATGTAATAGTTTTCCCTATCATTCTGGGGAACATTAATTTCATTACCTGAAATATCATTCCATCCAGTAACTGGCATTCCAGTTTTAGCAACAGCTTTTCAAATGGCTTCAGTTTATCTTCCTGAATCCCAAACTTAGAAGGGTTGTGATGGACAGATTTTAGCAGCCTGTAAGGAGTAGGCATGGAACACACACATACAAAACACATTTAAAACGTGCTAACAGTTTTATTACATCCCATACTATTTTGAGAATAGGTTTTAATTGCTCATATCTGTTGCCCAGCAGCAACTCCAAAATTCAAAAGAAAAAACAAACTCAACGCCTACTAGGTCTTTATAAGTCACACGCATTTGAATTTTTAACAGCAACAAAGCTGGTGAAGGGTCTAGAGAACAAGTCTTCTGAGGAGTGGCTGAGGGAACTGGGATTGTTTAGTTCGGAGGAGGCTGAGGGGAGATCTTATCACTCTCTACAACTCTACAACTATCTGAAAGGAACCTGTAGCGATAAGACAAGAGGAAACGGCCTCAAGTTGCATCAAGGGAGGTTTAGGTTGGATAGAAGGAAAAATTTCTTTATTGAAAGAGTGGTCAGGCCTTGGAACAGGCTGCCCAGGGAAGTGGTGGAGTCACCATCCCTGGAAGTGTTCAAAAAACATGTGGATATGGCGCCTCAGGACATGGTTTAGCAGGCATGGTGGTTATGGGTTGACGGCTGGACTTAATGATCTTAGAGGTCTTTTCCAACCTTAATGATTCTATGAACAACTCCCATTTATTTAGGCTTTCCATGAAATGGAGTTATTGTTCCACTAATTTAACTACCTTCATAATTGTTGACTCTTCAGCTTTTACTCGAGTTCTTACCTAAATCTGCATGCCCATCCCCGTGATCAATATGGATGGAGATAGTCTCAGATCAGTTGTGTACAAAATCAGATTTCTTACTGAATTTATTTTAAACCCCGCCAACCACTACTCTGTTTGCCAAGATGCTTACCGTGTATTGTAAATGTAACATTCAGCACTTTAAAAAAAAACAACTTACTGGTGCTGTTAGAAGGACATGGTGGGAGCTTAGCCTTGCTCTTCATTAAGATTTCTGGAAAACTCCCAGGGCTACCAAAAATCCATGTTCCCACACTGACTCTCTTAGAACAAAGACATATGGACATGCTTTTATCTTCTATGTTATGGGAATATTTTTCACACCTTCAGAGACACACCTCTTATACATGGTCCAGTGATCTCTCAGAGTGGCATGATTGTCAATTATTTCATCCAGAGTGATTAAGACGGTAAGCAGCTCTCCCAGATGCTCATACATTGCCTGTTTAAAAACAATACAAAACACAAAAGGACTGTTGTTATTTATAAGTTTACAGTCACACACGGCAAGTAAAATTTCAGTTCCTTTCAATATATTATCAGCCAACAAGACATCATCTACAGAGTTAAATTGGAGGTTTCTTGGTTTAGTAGGGTAAAGTATTTCTTGTAGTGACACAAGGAACACTAGTTTGTGCACAGGCACAGCTTTAAGTTCACTCATCTAATTTGACACTGAAGGTACGATTTTCAAAACTGTCTACATGCAGAAGCACATATTGCACACAATAAGGGAGCGTGCAAACACTTGTCAGCTAAGAAAGCTAGACTATGAGAAACATGGCCACATAAACACCAGAAAAAGGTGATGAACACAATAAAACCTTTAAAGGAGACTCCAGATTGAAAGTTGTACTTGAAATTCACTTTCTTGCTGCTTTTCCTCAGGATTAATGATCAAGACACACATATATTAACATAAGCAAATGGGGCTCCAAGTCATTCCCACCTGAAAATGAACTCCAGATGTCTCTATAATTTTAGGTGCATTCCTGTAAACAAAATAAATATTTTATTGCCTTTTTAATCCTTAGAACATAGTATATTTACCAATTCTGTATCACGGTGTGTTCTTTGTTTCTAGTGGTACATTTTTCTTCATTAACATAGTAACTTCAGAAAACAAAAGAATTGTTAAAATGTGATTAAAAGTATACACTATGCAAAATTTGTGTGCTAAGATCAAATTTAATATTGCATTTTTGAATGTACACCATGTGACTTGTTCAAACCACTTACTACGTTCAATGAACACGTATATCAGCAATTACCAATTCAGTTACGCTAATAGCGAGTAGCCTTGATACATACAGCCTTATGGCCCAAAAGTACAAAATCACTTCACACATTTAATCCAGCCATGTCCAAGCTACACATCTAGCCTTGCTCGTTCAGCACCATACAGAAAGCCTACCTTGTGCTGCAGTGTAAGATAACAAATAAACTTGAGAAGAATGATGCTATCCTATCTGGAACAAGGACGGAGGAATCAAGAGCTCTGCAGTTATATTCAGAGCTAAACCGAACAATTCTATTCAGAGCTAAAACCTTCCACAGTTTTCAGAGCAGCCAAACCCAACAGCCCTTACTAAGCTCAACTTCAGGTGTTAAAACCATGGTTGGTCTGTGAGGAATATATACTAAGATTTGCATATTTAAAACATTAGGCTATGAAAGCAATCTGGTTTTTAAGCTTCTGAAGCTAGAGTTATCCACTGTATCAGTCAAAAAAAGGAACCTCTCTCAAACAGAGCAAGGATGACAGACTAATAAGAAAATCCCTTAATTATAAAGACTACATGCCTCTGAAGCATTAAATTTCATCAAAAAATGGTAACAAATTAAAATTCTTGCATCTCATTTATAAAAGCACCACCTCTTCTGAAAATGAAACAGCTCCACTTTCATAATGTCTTATGAAGCTCAAACTTGCACAGCAAAGTACTCTCCATATCTCCAGACAACAATGTTTCAAAAATGACAATGCCTTAGGCAGAACATTCGTATTTTATACATATGTTTAACTACACAAAAACAATATAGCATTTTAGGGAATAATTACTTGTTGCTGGTATAGAGAACAGCCAACTGATGCACTACATTCACCACCACTTCGTAACATCGGGTAACAAAGCAAGACAGCTCCTGAAATACAAGAAAATAGAATGCATGTATGTATAGACCCTCCTCATATACAAATTGTAATTACTTCCAAAACATTGAACATAAATCATTGAACTTGCAGACCAAGCTCCAACTACATTCCCAATCCAAGTCAGTGGACAGACCTAAAGCAGGATGGAAAACACCAACCTAGTAACTAACGGCTCTGAAAATGGATCTAAAAGCTCCCAGTACAAATTAAGGGACCAATATGCACTCTGGTCAAAGAGAAGTATGATAAGGAAAACAGAAATTATTTCAGACTTGCATATAGCTTTGACAATCTAGATACTAAAATACCAGAATTGATACCCAGGGCCATATTTTAAAAAGGATATTGATACTTTAAAGAAGGTACAGAAAAGAGTCACCATAACAGGTTCAATGTACTTCAAATATCTTGCTGTAAAAATTTCAAGAGTTCAATTTATCAAAGACAGTAAGTGACTCGACAACAGAGCCCAAGTACCTTCAGAGACAATATCCCTGATAGTAAAGGCTGTGCATTTTCCCACTAGATTCAACAGTCACACTCTGGGAACTGGTGATAGCCGAATTCAAATTAGAAATTAACACAGAAGCTTGTACCTACTGTAAGAGCTATTAGCCACAGAAAGCTGCTTTCAAAAAAAAACAAAAAACCAGGACAATGTCTTTGAGAGGTGTATTTGATTACAGCAGAACTCGAGCTCAGTTACATAGTACAAAATGAGTAAGAACAGGTCAACTCTGACCACTTAACGGACTAGCTTAGTTTATATAATGGATTTTAAGAAGGCATCCCTTGAGCAACAGGGTAAATGAATCTGAGTTTTTCTTAATGCAGTAACATTTACTCATTAATGCACCCTATAGTGCCATCAGGGAAAAGTCAGCATGTGATGAGTCTAGCCAGTCAGCACACAGACAGCTTCGTAGCAGACAGCCCACCCCGCTTAACCAGCCAGCCTGCCGTTCCTGCCAGAAGACTGGCTAACAGCTGAATCCTGTCTTCCTCTCCATCAAAAATAGATCTTATTTGGGCTTCTGCTGTCTATTAGTCACCAGTTTTCACAAAACATAAAAATGTTGCTACTTCTTATGCCTGTATTGCTCTATCAAAAGCAGCTGAAACAAGCCAACAGATTGCAGAGGAATGAATTAATAGACAATTGAGATCATGCTTCCTGGGGAAGGGGCACCAGCTGCCATTTCAGAACTTCCAGGAAATAGTCCAATTTAACAGCACATGCAAACTATCAGCCACATAATACAGACAATTTTATCATATTATCACAGTTCTTCAAATACACTGCCTTCTGCAGGATCAAGAGTACCTGACTAGTGTTTCACAGCACTATTTTCGGGCTGGGTTTTTATTGGGTTTGTTTTTTTAATGTTTGGATATAGCAAATTTGAGGCTATTACATCTAGTTAATCAGGAAATCGTGAACTCAGAAGAGCCAATAAACCAGTATGTGGACATTAGCTCTATAAAAGCACCATTCCACCTCTTTTGTCATCTTCATTCACAATTTCACACCGCTCTTGTAGATATATTTATAACATTGACCAGAACAGCATTTCCCAGTCTATGGACACAGACTACTACTGAGTGGATTTAGGGGAACATAACAGTTGAAAAAGAACAAACTCAATAAGGAAAAGCTTTCCTCATAGCTTTACCCAAAGCAACATACACCTGTTAGCACAGTAACCTTCCCTTTGGGGCAACATCCTGCCTCTCCCTTGTTTCCCAAGTTGCTCAACAATCAGCAAGCCATTGTAGCAGACACACAAAGTGGGCTCACAAGCAACAGTGCTATGTTTTTGTGTAGTATTCACCCTGTAAATATACACATCAGTATAAATCTCATAAATAAACTTGCTCTGTAAAGTGGGCTTGCAGTGCACATAGATAACAGACAGCCAGTCACCCTGCTCTCAACTTCCACCCGGACAGAGCATCCTGGCAGGAAAAAAAAAAGTCTGGAAAAACACAAGTGTACAGTATCCCCATTTCAGAACCAGGAAAAGGTCTATCCAATATCTATTCGGAAAGAAACAGAGGATGAAGGAAGAAACTGACAAAGTTGATATACGACAAAAAAACTTGAAAAATGGGGGAAAAACCTCAAGACATCCTAACAACTAACTACACTTGGGCATGGTAAAAGAGGTTGAGAAACAACTTCCTATAGCATTCAATCTGTTACGACTCAGTAAATGACAACTGTCACACTAGTATACAGCAAGAACAGGTATTTCAACCTTTGTAAAACTAGAATTTGTGTAAACATTCTGGAAGCTTCCTGCATATTCTCTACTTCCACACAGACATTTCATTACAAGCAATACTGCATAAAAATAGAAACATTTTGGGGAACAGGACAGTCACGCTATACTAAAGACAAAAAAAATTCCACAGTAGACCGAAAGCCAAGAGCACAGGAAATCCTCAGAAGGAACACAGATCCTGTTTTCATGCAAAAGACCCTGATAACAACCAAACTGTATAAGAAATTAGTGTTCTTCCCTGAAAGTTTGTGAGGCACAAGCAATTGTTTTCCAGGCACATGTTTTAAATTTGCTTTCTTCTATCAGCTAACAAAAAAGATGTAAAAATAATTAATCCATTTCCAATGTTCAATGAAAACTAATAAAAATGAAAATAATCACCATAAAAATAGATGTCTTTAAATTTACCATAAAATGAAACCACCTCAATTTATCTTCTTTTATGGCCATTTTCTTAAGTAAATTCTAATTTCTTTGAACAATGATTACACAAACTGTAACTTCTTCTCTCATTAGACTTCCAGAGCTTTAGACAAGTATTTAAAAAAACCCAAAACAATGTGTGATACGTCAGCTGGTTGTGACAGGTCTGCAGGCACTGCCTTTCAACAAGATGCAAGTGAGATACTGCAGACTGTTAAATCCACTTTGCAAGTAAAATTAAGATTGTAATTGCCGTCAAAAAAAAAAAAACACAAAACATACTGTACCTGCAAGAAAGAAACAAATCTTCCCATCTGTATTTGGCAGTCTCCCTCCACCATGCTGGAATCTGTGGCTTAAAAGACAAACATTTGTCACCATTTTCAAAAGGTTGTGTTATACTTGTTAAATTGACACTTGTCATCCAAGCCATTTGTTTGTCATACAAGTGGAGCACACTATTGTAAGCACACTGATGGAGCCTTAAAAGCATTTAACTTTGCTTTCCTAAGCTGGACTTATTTAAGTTTCTCTCATTAAAAAGCACATTGCTTCTAAGTTAGACACAAAACAGGAAAAAAATCTCCATCATGTGAAATACAGAATATAAAACATTTTTAAAGGCATATATATTATGTAACTTCATATAAAATTTAAAATTTTAAAGTTTGTATGAAAGCACTAGGTATTTATATTGCAAGGAACATCCTTGTAGCTATTTACTGAAAGAATATACTACACCATTAATCAGAAGAAAAAAGCGCGTAGCATACAATTTCCTCAAGAAATTTATTTTTCTTCTCCCTACATGTCACGCTGCACAAAAGAATAGGCTCATCAGAATAGCTTCAAAGCATTGTCTGTATGACAAAGTACACCAACAGGATACTATTAAATACAGTAATTTCATCACTAATGGCAAATTGTTTCAGTTAGCTGGAGCAGTTGTAATACTACCTGACAAAATATAGTCTTTGTAATGTGATGACAGATTAATGCTCTAGACCTGAGACTTTTCTATTGGGCCACTCTGAAGAAAAATGGCTTACTATTGCAAGTTCACATGCATAAGAAACGCAGGTCTTCTTGCTTCATAAAATATGTCAGTTTAGAGCAGTCACCAGACTAAAGGATTCTCCACACTCCTGTACGATGGAGCTCTTGAACAACATTCTAAATATTGCGTGCTTCCCCTTTACACATTCTATGTAACCTTTACTCTGTTTAGTGTATGTTCCAAAAAACCCTATCCAACTAACTATTTAAATTTCCTAAACTAGTCCTGGCCACTCCAAGGACAAGATGAAAAAAAAAGTTTCTCTATACAGAAAGAAAAGGCCAACACAGTATTTGTTTCATTTCAACCATACTTGAGCCAGTAACTTTGCCAGCTGTTCTAAATAAGCAAGCTTGCTGTTATCAAAGCAGATGCTACAAGGAGGAATATGGAAGCAGGGAACATAATTTCTGCATTCCCACCTAGCCCACTGAAGGCTGACCTCTCAGTTCCTGCCATTCTCAAGTCTTCCCTGCTGAAAACCCATCAGGAACAAACTGCTGGCGTACTATGTGAATCTGCAATAGTCTGACTATTTTCACGCTAGAGACATGGAGCAGTTCTGAGGGATCTCCTAGTATCATTTGGCAGCATATCACTTTCTTTTAAGATATTTAAAACCATGTCTGATAAAAAATGAGAATCTGCTAAGAAAAACAACCAAAACCCACACTTTTTCATGTTCCTTAACTGAACCACAGCAGTCATCTTTTATAGCATATAAAAGAATGATAAACAGTCCCTATTGCAAAGATGTCACATTCCTCAATACTTCTGTCACAGCCAAGGTTCTTGAAAAGCTTCAAAAACGCTCTTTTACAAGACTACTGTGAAAGAGCCTTCCCTTTCTCTCAAATTTCTGAGACAGAAAACAAATTTAGGTGGTATGTCTCTAAATCAACTCATTAATGTATTCAGTCCTCAGGACCAAGATCTGTGTTTACTCCCAGACTAGCATCCTTTAAGGCAGAAGCACAAGACGAACCCTTCAGAGGAGCTACCAGTTTAATTCTAAGACAAAAAGCAGCTTTCATCTAATACAGGGTCTCAGGATTTGTCAACTGAATTGACTCACAATCAGTTGTGCCCCTCTATTACATCACGGTCTAAACCGTAGCATGAGTACTATTACCTGCACTTGAAGGGCAGAGGACGTTAACACACTGCAACTTCTCTCGGAACAACTACAACTGCATAAATAAGCACGACTTGGTCCAAATTATTTATTAATGCTTTCATTGTTTTATTACAATCAAGTAAGAGATTTATTGTTTTACTACAACCAATGTAAAATCTAGTCCCAATAGGAAGTAAGGTGGTTTACGATGTGTTTATAGGTGAAAAACAGGTTTTCAATGCCATACTTAGAAACCTGAGCTCATGTACTGTCGCAGCTGGTTTTCAATACAATATACGTTAAATACAACCTCAATAGCCCATACTCCCTACTTCTCCTGTAAATCAGGCTGCAACAAAACTTCCTGTTAATGTAACAGATAAATCTTATTGTCACCTTGAGCTAACTCAGGACGGTTACAAAACCTACACATATGCCTATAACTTCAAAGTCCATTATTTGGTGCTCATCATTCAAAGATACAGAGAAAGTATGTATCCGTATTAGAAACCGACACTTGCTGTAGCATTTAATACAACCTGAAGCAATTAAGGTAAAACTACAAACTTTTACAGTAAAGGGAGCTACTTACCTCCTTCTCCATAAAACAAGAGGCCATTATAAAATTTACTTTCTGCCTAACAACAAAAGAAGAAATTTGTTTTTTAATAAATAGGATATATGTAATCATGCTATAAAAATTTAGACATTCTGTTTCTTTACTGCTGAAGAATAAATTTATATATCAGATTGCCAATCTGCAAACATTTTCATAAACAGTAATAAAAGACAGCTGAATTTACCTCGTATTTTAACTTCTTGATTTCACAGCAAAGGGCAGCATACACAGTTATTACTTTGTTTAGAACCTAGACTCAAAGGAGGGGGAAACAGCCAGATTACAAATAGATTCACGTTTAGAGAGCTTGAGTTTAGCTATAATAACTCTTTTGTTTTTTTAGGTTTTGGTTTTTTTTTTTCTTTAAAGCATAAAACACTTACCTTGTTTTCTGTCTTTATTAGCTCCAGTAGGGTGGACTGTTCATATGGCAAAAGCTAAAGTTAAAAAAAAAAAACAAAACACACACACACCACAAAACAAAACAAAAAACCCAACATTAGAAAATAGTGGTAAAAAATACATTTATCCAACAAGTAATTTTCCCCCCCCGTTTAGTCTCAAATAAGGTCTGTAATAAGAGAGCAATAACTGCACATTACTGTAAACCTACACTGCAGGAAACCTTCACTCTTCACATTTACATGGAAATACCTTTCCTTTCACTCTAGGCAGAAAGACAACTAACTAACTATACTGTAGTATTTACAACAATTTACTTACAAAACTTGGAAAGCAAAAGCATGGTCATAATGAAGTATGCAGAAAAAAAACAGCTCAGGAAACCTAAAACATGAATTAAGGATCACAAATGCAAAAAACAGGATTCATAGTGTGTATCTGTATGCAGGCACTGACATTTTGTACTGAAGTCAGCCATGATATTGACTAGTTCATACACATCCAGCACCGTGCTGGTCCTGCACATAATTCACTCATATTATTCAGACAGATAATTGCTTGAGTGCATCTTCAGCACAAGCAAGTTCCATATGGTAACAACAGTACTTTTAAGTGATGTCTGCACATTCAGTGAGGAGAAAAAAAAAAAAAAATAATGCTCCACAGATGACAGAGACTATATCACCAAGGAAATAACCATGTCTGGATGACAGAAAATACTGTACTTAGGCCATTAAGTCAAAACACACACACACAGTTTGCTTTGCAGTTATACAGCTACTAGTGAGCTCTTCTGGAACCCCAACCCCCAGACAGAAAACACCAACACCCACAGGGAAGAAGTTTGCTGGAACTAGCCTTCCCAACACATGAAGAACTATAAATTCATTTAACTTCCACCAGTATCCAAAAGACTAGTAAAGAACAGTATGAAAACATCATCTATTATGACATGCACCAATTTATTAGTGACTTGATAATTAAAGTAGGATTGGATAGGTTTCTCAAACACAGAAGCCAACATTTTAAGAGCACAAATGCATCACGCTTTTACTTCTGAGGTTTAGATGGGAAGAAGGAACAAGGAAAATAAGAGTTGCAATGCATATTAAGTATATGAAGACCTTTAATGCAATGGGATCAAGACTGAAGTCCCAAACATCTCCAACAGAGTCATCCAGAGCATCTTCAATTCTCTTCAGCTGAGATGTATAGTCCTCAAGAAATTTTCCATAATTCTTCAACTGCACTTCAGCATGGATTTCTGAGAATTGATAACATGCGTACAGTTTTATAGATTATCCAGTAAACTGCAATATCAAAAAAATTTATAAAAAATATTTAATCTGTTGCTATTTAGCTTGTAGTACTGTACTCATTTTGCTCTGCATTTTTCCTTAATACAAACATATCTTTAATACAAAGCTCTTATTTGTTTAAAAACAATCACACAACTCGGTGTCAGTTTAAAGGAAATCCAAATACTGCTTAAACAATATCTAAGAGGTTTGCAGAAAATTATTTTCTAAATTTACGTATATTTTCAAATTAAGATCTTAAAAAATCTAACAATCAAACCAAGATGTTGGGCAGCGAAATGACTGTAGAAATCATAACACTGCAGGTGATTCTACCCATCGGCTGAACCAGTACATATGTAAGTATATTAGAACTTCGAGGCAATGGGTCTAATCATTTCAGCCTGAGTTGCAGCAGTACCAGTCCCCCTTCCACACTCTCCCTGCTACCTCTCAGCAAGTCATTTGGGCATTTCACGGGAAGGTTTTGGCATTCAGTCACTCCCCCCACTTGCAAATTCACCATCTTCGAGCAGAACTTTTCTTCTGCTTAGCATCTGGGCATTGAAATGCACAGCTGTCCTGGTACTGCTAGGGCCAAGTACGTTATGTTCAACAGGTAACATTCAGCTGGTCAAACACCAAGAATAGTGGTATTAATTAGAACAGTAAGTCTAAAGACAATTGGTCCACAAAGTTTCATTCACTCTATCCTGATTTTTTTCTTCCCACATTAAGACACTCCCCATTCCCCAGACTATATAGTTACTGACTTGGTTGAGTAACTTGAACTATGGAGTGACTGATTACAGCTCACGGCTTCTGTGCTCAGTAAGGAAGTACAATCCTTTTTCATGTGAAGACTAAAGTGTCTCCTCCATAATTAGGTAACAAATCTAACAGCTTGTGACCTTCTGTTATTTGTTGAAAATAGGATTACCTCTAAAAGTTAGAGAACGTAAGTCAGCTCAACAATCAAACTTTTCCTAGACAAGAATTCAACTCTCACACAGCTTTATACGTGCCCTTTCCACATTTCATCAAGAAGGCTGTTCTAGAAAGTTAAAAAAACACTTATATTCTTCTATTCGGCATGTTTAACCTCTTACTCATCCATGTTGCCAATAACTGAGCCAAATGGTAGTTGATCTCTAATTCAGTGGGAGAGCACTGCTGAATCAATTATCACTTAGGCATCTTTTTGAAGAAAGAAAGTATTTGATTGAGGCACTGCACCAGGCATAAGGGGAGGAATGAATAAGGACAAATTAATAAGGAAAATGTGAGAAGGACTATGCACAGGAAGGTTGAGTCTGGGAAGGAGAAATGACTGCAGTGAAGTCCTGAACTAATTAATTCTAAGCTACTACTTTGAAGCCAGCAGCAATGCCAACCATCAGGGCACATGAACTGCAAAGCATATCCAAGAAGCACAGCAAACTCTCCCACATTAAGTTCTGCATTAGTGCCACGGGGTTCTACCTGTACCTGCAGCCTAGACGGTGCACAGGCACTGTCAAATTAAAGAGACTGAATATCATGTAAATGGGTAAGAAGCAAGTGAACAAAAAACTCTCCATCACCAGTATGCACTCCTGACACCGATGTACAGCCCTTGACTTGCATGATCATATTATTCTACTCCATCAAATTCATCTCATCTTTCACGTTCCTTCCAGCGCGTCTTCTGGAAGCTCTGCTGCAGAAAACCACTAAAACATTAATGGATGCAGAGTAGAGTTTAACCAGCCACTAAGTCAGCTTCAGTACTTTACTGCCAGAAAAACTGGAGTAAAGAGACCTATCAATACAGAGGCATGCTGCAGTATTCCCCCAATCCCATCTCCTCCCTTGCACAAAAGGCACACAGAGCAGAGAAACTGACAGAGATATTGGGGCTTTATAACACAAAAATCTTTCAAGTCATAGGAGAGTAGGAAATGGGCACTGCTGTTCAATTCCCTATGGAACAGGCAGCATTTCTCAAACAAAATCTTGCAGCAGGGCTCTGCTAGAGACTCACAACTGTCACCTTTCCAGCAGCCAAATGATAGAATTGAACAATGCTATAGCTCAACATAACTGATATTAAATATTTGCAAATATGTAAGTATTGATAGCCATCAATTTGCCACATTGTACTGATCATATATAAAACAAGGGACAGGTGTGAATAATGTCTTACGATTTTAGAGAGACAAAAGAGTGAAAGCTATTAGCTAGCCAGAGACAGGGAGGCTTGAACTGACTGAAAATGACTTGGAGATGGGGGCAGTTTTTTAAGATGCACAAAATTTTTCATTAATAAAGTGGCTCACATGGAGAAAGAACAAGAAATCACAGAAAACAGCTATTTTTTTTTTTCTTCCAAGCAGTAGACATGCTTCATAAGGTATAATCTGTTTACAATAAGTTTGATTTATTTCCTCCTCAGGTGCTAAAATGAAAGCATTACAATTGGAACAATGCAAGAGATTTACTCCGCAGTACAGATCCCCCAACTTCATCTTATTTTCTTCCATAATATCAGCAATATCAATATTCAGTGGACTTACTGCCGCAGCAGGATTTGCAAGTGCTGTGTCTGTAAATATCTAGGATAGAAATGCAACAAACGGGACTTACTTAACTTAGTACCTTGAGTTGAAAACATTATCGTTGATAAAAGTTAGTAATACAGGTATAAGGTGACAGTGGACAACAAAAACTGTTTTTGCAGTCATGGGATTTTTCTTTGTCTTTTCTCTAGAACACTGTGTTGTTCTCAGTGGAAGATCAGCCTGCTTGTTCACCGTCAAGATGGTGGCAATGGAGCATATTATGTCATGTAAAGTTCTCCCAGCTGCACTCCACATCATGGCCAAACTAGTGGAGATCAGGCATTCTGAGTAAAAGCCACATTTTCCATTCCGCAGCTAAAGAACTGGTAAAGTCAGCTCAGGACAGCTTCAGTATCCACTGAAATCCAGATTAAATGAATATGGCATAAACAGTATCATCCCTTGGGACAGCATTATATGTGAAACAGCTGGCCACGAGTGACATTTTCACAGCAACACCTGGTGTAATTAATTCGGCACAGTTCAATTTACGGTGTGTATTACAGCGTGACAACCACACACGTTCCCTGCTTAGAAAGTAGGTCACCTCCACAGGCTGAGAAAAACGTGGACTTTGACAGGCACAGAAAGCCACTGTCAAAAACTTCAGCATCACAAGGCCTTGTTTAATTATTTTTTTAAAGGTGAAACCGCAAGTGATCGTCCCACTCCATGCCAGAAAGCCTTCACCAAGGAAAGCTGCGTGAAACTAACTTCTCTCGACACGACTCCGAGGAAGCAACTGCAAAAATCCGTGAGCCACGAGAAACGATGGGGAAGGGAAGGCCCACCGTCCCTACGACAAGCGTCCGCAACGCCTCCTCGGTCCGCTGCAAGAAAAGCAAACCAGGCCCCCTCCCCGCCACGCTGGGGGCACTGGGGACGACTCCCCCGAGGGGGGAACGGGCTGGAAAAGCC